CCTTTTCATTTTTCTCTCCCTCCCTTTTCCCTTCTTTTATCCCTCCTTCCCTTTTTCCTTACTATTCTCTACCGCCCTCCCTTTTCCCTTTTCTCCCTCCCTTTTTCCTTTTTCTTCCTTTTTCTCTCCTTCCTTCTCCTCTTTTCTCCCTCCCTCCCTCCGTCTCCCTCCCTCCCTTTTTCCTTTTTCTCCCTCCTTTTCGTTTCTTTTCTTTTCCTTTTTCTCTCCCTCCCTCCTTTTCCTTTCCTCTTTTCCCTCCCTTTTCGTTTTTCTCCTTGCCTCCTTTTCCTTTTTGTCTCTCCCTTATTCCTTTTTCTCTCCCTTTTCTTCTTTTCTCTTTTCCTCTTTTCTCCCTCCCTTTTCCTTTCTTTTTGCTCCATCACTCCCTTTTCCTTTCTTTTCTCCTCCTCTTTCTCTCCCCCGCCCCCCCGAACCTGCCCTAGAGGAAACCAGGAGTTCTGAGCATCTTTTCCAACTAACGATTTTTATTAAAAGGCAGAAAGTTTTCTTCAGCGACCAGGCAACCCCTCTTTTGGGGCTCCCCTTGGGTGAACCCAGACCTCCTCCTACAACCGACCTGAAAGAAATGTCCTTGAAAGCATCCGGCAGTGGCTGGCAGACTTGATGGAAGGAGTTGCTCCTCATCCGTGGCGGCTTTTGAGAGACGGACAGAGCCTTCCCAACCCTTCATCTTCACGGGCAGCCCGGGTCCCTTCCCCACTCAAACTGCTTCGCATCCATCCCAAAGCCGCAAACCCCCTGCCTCCCCTCCCGCTTGGACCCAGGAGGGCTCACATGGGCCTCCCACCACCATCCAGGCAGCCCAAGGGCCGGGCAACACATCGCCACCTTCCGGCCGGGGGTGAATTCCGCTGTCAGCACAGCCTTCCTCCCGCTTCAGGCCCCCTCGCTCAGCAGGCGAGCCAGTCCAGGGCGGGAGAGGCGGTTGCTGACAGAGGTGAAGCCATTGTTGTCCCTATCCGGCTCTCCCGGGGCAGCCACATTCATGGAGGAGGAATGGGTGAAGAAGTCCCAGGATGCTCCCAGAGTCAGGCACGCGGTTCTCAGTCGTGAGGGGAAGGAGCTCCAAGCGTCCGCTGATCTTCCAGGCGAGGGAGATGCCGACCCCCACCCAAGACCGGTCAGAGAAGCCCAGCTCCCACTGGGGCCTCCTCTCCCTGGTCTCGGCTCCGTGTGGCCTCCCAAATGTTGTGCCTCCCCCACTCGTCCCCAACGCTCTCCGGGGCCCAGAGGCGGCTGGGCAGTTTCTGGAGCAGCCTCGGCTTCCCCCAGCACTGGGCTCCAGGACCACCCGGCACCAGATGAACCACGGGGTGACATGCTGGGGAGTGAAAATTGCCTGACTTTGGAGGAATACAAAGGGAAGCAAAGGCGGAACCGTCCTTAGAACAGGGCGTCTGTACAAGGGGAGGAAGGGAGCCCGGCCATCAGCTACGGTGGTGGCAGCTGCTGGCGCCCCTCCGTCTCTGCCCGCCAGCGCTCCAGCGTGTGGATCCTCTTCTCCAGGGCCTCCATCTGCCTATGAACAGCCCCAACTGCGGAAGGAGGCAACCGGGGACGGTCAGGAGGGGCTTTGGGGGGAAGAGGGAGGAGGAGGAAGGGGCTGCCACCCTGCTGGAACAGACCCACAGGTTGAGGGAGGGGGAAGGTCACGGAAGGGGCCGCCCCACTTACGGTTGCGGAGGACAGAGATGCGCAAGTCTTCCAGCGAACGGTGAAGGGACTCGAGGGTCACCGGAGGTGGCTGCGCCAGGGCATCGGGGAGGGCCAAGGGGGAGGGGCCAGCAGGGGAGGCACTCCAGCCCCCTTCGGCCAGTCTCCGGCGTTTACCTGCAAAGAGAGGGCACCTTCTATGCCTCTGGGAGCATCTGAGGCCCAGGCAGACAGAGCTTTGCTCCTGTGGGGCAGAGGGTTCCGCCCTGGAGGGGGGCGGGGGAGGGGAGGATGGGACATTTGCCCTAGTGGCTCCAGGATGGTGCTGGAGAGCTCGACTCCCCAAGTCCCTGGGGAGGGCTGGGGTTCACCAGGGGACCCCCCACCCTCCCGGGAAGGGGCAGCAGGTCCCTCTGGCCAGCCTGGAGGAAGCAGCCCTGGCCATGCTCCCACCGGCCTTCTTCAGGGCAGCAGGTGGGAGGGGCTCTTCCACCTGAGGGCTCGGGGGGAGGGGAGAAGGCAGAGGGGGCCTCCCAGGCCCTCCAGGAGGGGCCCAAGACTGGGGAGGCATGGAAGGACCCGCTCAGCTCACCCAGCAGCCCCTGGGAGGCAGCCTCTCTGGTCCCAAAGTGGGGGTCCCCCTGGTGGAAAGGAAAGTCAGCCATGGCGGGCCAGGAAGGGAGCTCAGGCAAAACCAGGAGCTTCTCCGCAGAATTCCTGGCAAACAGGAAGCCCCTCTCGACCTGGGGGCTCCATCCCCGCCCCCCCCGGTAGCTTCCCTCCTCAGGCAGAGGCATCCAGAACAGCCACAACTGGGCTTTTGCAAGGACCCTTTGGCACAACAGCCGAAGAGGAAAAGGTAGCGAAAAAGGGGTGGGGCCAATATTCCCCCACCCCCACCCCCCACCCGGTGGAAGAAGCAGCCCAGAAACCTTCCTAGCACCATTTTGGGACTCTTGCTGAGAGGCCGACTCAAGAGGCTCCACTCACCAGGGTGCCAGGGCCCGGGGCTGACTTCGGGCAGGGTGGGTGGGGCTGCTGCTGGGAAGGGGACTCCGGGCTCAGGCCCGCTGCTGCTGCTGCTGCCGCCGCCATCGGCCCCAAGGATGCACTTTGACTCTGGGCCCCTGGCAAGGCGTGAGGAGGCAGAAGGGTCACGGCGGGCACAGAGTGAGAGAGAGGGGAGCCTGGGTCCTGGCCCTGCTGGGAGGAAGAACCCATCAGTGGAGCATCCAGAAACTCATCAAACCCCACCAGGGGCCCCTCTTTGCAAAGGGCCCCCGCCCCGACCGAAGGAGGGGGGGACAAGCGGAGCCCCCCCCCAAGTCTTCAGGACCAATCACAGGGCATGCAGGAGCAGCCACAACTGGCAGGCTGGACCCCCCTGTAGGGGTTTGTGGCATCAGGTGGCCAACAATTCTGCTGCCCGCAAGGGCCCAGGAAGGGGCAGGAGAGAAGGGGCCCCTCGTGACCTCTCAGGGAACACACACACACACGCACACACACACACACACACACCCTCCGAATACGAAGACCTTTGCCAGCTGAAACCTTCAATTTCCCCGCAAGTGGGCAAGGGAAACGGAGCACACACACACACACAGCCCTCCAGGCCTACCTGGGCTCCTCCGTCCTGTGGAGCCGATTCCCCCAGGATGCCCAGGCTGGCGTCCAGAGCTCCGAGGGGGGCAGGAAACAGATGCGGGGGCAGGAACTGGCTGGGGGCCGGAGGAGGGCTCAGGAAGGTGCCCAAAGAGGCCCTTGTTGCATTTTGGGGCTGAGGCAGCCAAGGGGAAGTGGCGGGCACCTAGCAAACAAGATGGACCGTCAGGCTACGAGACAGGGGTGCGAGGGGCACCGACTCCGAGGCGAAAGGGGAACGGACTCAAGATGAGGGCCGGCGGCTTCTCCAGACCTGAACCCACCGCACAGGAATTTTCCCACCGAGACATGGGAGCGGGAAAAGGACTCTTCCTCCCCGTTTAGGATCGGCACAGCTGCAAACCGATTCTGCAGGAGTGAGTCCTCCCCCGTGCAGTGTATTTGCCCTGCCCGCCTCAGAGAGTCACGCTATGAAAATCTGAACAGGGTGAGATCCACACAGTGTAGCATCTGGGTGCAGTGAAGGGCTGGGGGGTGGGGAAAGGGGAACCAACCACCGGAGCCGCTTCCTCGCCGTGGGTCTGAGCAGGTGGGCTTGTCTGGGGGGCCACCAGAGGGTCCAGCAAAACGGGAGAGGACTGGATGGTCCAAATGGACATGGGGTTCAGCGGAGGGACACCTGCAAAAGGTACCCCAGGACAGCTCAGCCGGCTGCGTCTGAACGCCACGGGCTCCCAGCCCCAACTCTGGCCATGAGAGTCACCCTGGCAGTGAAACCAATGGCTTCACACGACACCCTAAACTCCAAATCTGGGTTAAGCAAAGACAGAAAAACTGCCTTCCCGCAAGAAGCAGGGAAACTCACAAAGGCTCAAGGGAAGGCTAGCTTGACGCCACCCGCAGAGAGAAACCTTTTGGACTTCCCCAAATTGCCCGTCCAATTGGGGAAGGGAGGCAGGGGGCTGCACCTGCAAAGAGACTCCCGGGCATCGCCCCAGAGCCAATCGGGTGACCGAGGCTCCCCGCCCTGGCCCCACTTTGGCCGGGCCGAACAGAAGAAGCCGAATCCTTTGCTGGAGCGATGGTGGGAAACGGCTCCATTGCTTCAGCCTCTCCCGTCCGAATTGGCTTCCCTGTCGGGGTTCTTGGGCTTAGGAAAAGCTGCCGCCGCGAGATGGGAAGGCTGGCTACAAAAAGCGAAAGTGAAAGCACGTATACCTGGGGGGTCCTGGGTGGGGCTCGGAGGCACTTCCGGGGTGGCCAGCTGACTGCCTGCAATAAAAACACACAACCCTCTTCAGCCTCTTCAACCGCGTTTCTGCTGAAAGACAAAGTCATCCGAGTAGAAAACCGACCAGGTTAAGAAGAGCCTTGCATCTTGGCCAAACTCGGTCAGGAGGGTTCATTAGCCTGGCTCGAAAGGGCTTCTCAGTTCCCGCAACTTGCCCTCATGCTAACCCTGGAGGATCATCAAAGCCAACTTGCTTCCACCCAGGAGTGGGATTCAAATTTTTTTTACTATCGGTTCTGTGGGCGTGGCTTGGTGGGCGTGGCAGGGGAAGGATACTGCAAAATCTCCATTCCCTCCCCGCTCCTGGGGGAAGGTTACCCCCAGTTCTCCAAACTACTCCAAATTTCCGCTACCGGTTCTCCAGAACTGCTCAGAACCTGCTGAATGCCACCTCTGCCTTCCGCCCACAGAGGCTCCCTTAATGGAAAATAGTCTTGCAATTTGAAGGGATCATCTGTGGGGAGCATCCCGAGGGACTAACCCGAACCCACATGGCCTTCGGGGGGGGAGAGCCGGGAGGTGCCCCAGGCACGAGGGACAGGAAGGGCCTCTCAGGACCAGGCTGGGGGACAAGGGTGTCTTCGGACTGTTCAGAAAAGGAGATTTCATCATGGCCGCCGAAGCCCTGAGAGGAAAGAGACCAGCTGTCCAGCTCAATTGGCTTCTGAGCGGTCAGTAAACACTCAGACCTCGGAAGGAATAAACCTCATATGCTTAAAACGGGCCACCTGGAGGAGGAGACGGGATACAGGACCAGAATCACCAGAAGGCAGCCGCAGAGAGCGTTCCCCTTGGATTTGTCCACTGATTATATCCCACGGGTGTTCCTGCCCATCTCACAGAAGGCAATTCTGGGCGGCGCACAAAAAGAGCCACTGAAAATCCGTCCACGACTGAAAACACCAATCCAGGCATTCTTTATTTCCACCACCCCACAAGTGAAGCGGGAGAAGATTCGCCTCTTGGGGCTCTGGGGAATGCAGCTCCCACGCCTATCAGGGAAGGAGACAAGGACACCGGCCATGTTGGGGTGTCAAGGTTAAAGTCTGGACTTTAGGGAGTGTTGGGTATAACATTGATACACCAACTAAGTTTGGGTGAATAAATATATAAACCAAGGTTTGAGTGTTTGTAACTTGTAGCTTTAAGCACCAAACTGCTTGTAATTAACTAATTAAGGGTGCGGTTACAAACGGCAATAAAAGGCAGTAAGAGAAACGTAACTCTCTCTCTGCTTGTTTTTCTGCTTGCTACTGTTTGTTTTGCTACTGTTTGCTACAACTGTTTGAATACCTGAACGAAAGGACTATTTCATTGATGTGCTGATATCCTGTGAATACTCAGCGTTGTCTTCAAAAGGAAAGGTATCAAAGGAGAAGATATCTTTACAAGCAGATAAGGATATAGAACTGACTAGTAAATGGACTAAGTTACTGAATGGATATATTTGTGAATGGCATATGGACTGATTGACAATGTTTAAACTCTAATAGGATTAAACAACTATTTAAACTACAAAACAGTGTTTGTCATCAGTGTGTGTAAACTCTAGGGCCCTTCCTCTCTCATTTGGCTGCCTGGCTTGACTGCTGCTGCACATTCTGTTTTTTGGGGGTTTGCCCCCAATAACTAACATTGGTTATGGGCCCAGTGCGCACAGTCTAACTAACGAGGATATAGCAGTGAGAGTTGGTGTGAGTTACACATTACTGTAAAAACAAACTTTTTTTTTTCAGTAGTTTTTTTTAAAATAGTTACATATCTGAAGAGCAATGGCACAAGTAAATTTGCCAAATCTGTCCATGATATCCAGACTAGATGGAACGAACTATGTTTCATGGTCAATGAAATGTAGTTTACTTCTACGAAGAGAAGGTTTGTGGGACATAATAACAAACCCACCAGATGTGACTAACTTAGATCCTAATGTTGAAGAGGATGACAAAAAGATACAAGACTATAAACGAAAGAATGAGCAGGCTTTATGCATCATAGGACTGACTCTCTCTGACCAGCAACTTATCCATATCCATGGAGAGGAAAATGCTTCAAACTGCTGGGAGAACCTCAGGAAGATATATGTTCGGGACAGTGTAGGAGCTCATATATATCTTACACGCAAACTATTTTGAACACATCTTCAGAAGAATGGAGACATGTTAACTCATTTAAATTGTATGAAGAGCATTTTTCAGGAATTACAAGAAAAAGAGCTTACATTTAATGAGTTGCAACAAGTATACATCATACTGTCTTCATTAGATCAAAGCTATGATGATTATGTGACTGCTTTAGAAGTATTGCCAAAAGATAGTTTATCATTAACCGAGATTACCGGCAGGCTATTAGAAGAAGCCAGAAGAAGGTGTGAACGTGACCAGCTGAGAGAAGATAAACCTAATAAAGAAGAGAAATTATCTTCAAAGCTTGAAAGAAACCAACTAAGTAAATTAAAGCACCCGGAAGAAGAGAATTTATCTTCGACGGCATACACAATTAAAAAGTGTTTTAATTGTGGAGGCAGAGGACATTTGGCAAGATTCTGCAGAAAAGAAAAAAGCCAGAATGTAAAAAAGCCAAAGAAATTTTTTGAACTAGCCACGTTTAGCAACTGTGATGTGAAGAATGATTTATGGGTGGTGGACAGTGGTGCATCCCACTGCATCACGAGAGATAAGACAAAATTTATAAAACTGTCTACAAGCTCTCAACATATATCACTTGCTAATGGCTGGAACCTCAAGGCCAAGGGAGAAGGTATTGCATACTGTCCATGCTTAAACCAGGATATAAAAATGTTGTATGTACCACAGTTAAAGGTGAACTTGCTTTCTGTAAGGGTATTAGACAAACTAGGTTATGTAATTACATTTAAGGATAATAATTGCATAATTGAGAAAGATAACAAAAGGGTAACTGCAGCTTTAAATGGAACATTGTATGTATTACATGATAGTAAGAAAGGGGAGGCACAGACTGTATTTAACAATATAAAGCCTCATAATGAATGTATCCATTTATTGCATAGGTGTTTGGGGCATGTAAATTTTAAAATGCTAAAACCTACAGTAGAGTTATCTGATGGAATAAGGTTAAAACCTTGTGATAAATATTTGCGTTGTAATGTCTGCTGTGAAGATAAGAGTAAAATATTGCCTGCAAATAGGCTAAATGGTTTCAAAACTAAAGAACCTTTAGAAGTAGTATTTGCAGACATTATAGGTCCAAAGAAACCCAGTATGGGGGGTGCTCAATATATATTGAGCATTATGGACCATTATTCTAGATATGGGTTTTGCTATCTAATGAAAAGCAAAACTGAAACATATCAACATTTCTTCAACTGGTTAAAATTTGCAGAAAGAAAGACTAAACGGCAACTGATAACCCTGGTGACAGATAATGGTACGGAATTTGTTAACAGCAAATTCCAGAATAGATTAAAGGTACCTGGAATAGAGCACAAGAAATCTGCACCATACAGACCACAACACAACGCATTTATTGAGAGAAGAGGCCAAACACTACAGGCAATGGTTAGAACAATGTTAACTGATTCTGGATTACCTGATTCTTTGTGGGGGGAGGCCACAATGTGTGCTAATAACATATTGAACAACGTTGTTAATACAACTACTGGTGAAATACCATTCACCATGTGGCATGGCAGGAAGCCTGATCTGAGTTACCTGCACACATTTGGTGCACCAGCATGGGTGCATATCCCTACACAACTCAGGCGTAAAGGGCAACATAGAGCTAAACAATTATTCTTCGTTGGTTACCAAGCAAACCATAGGGCATATAGATTTTGGGAGAAAGGCACATCTAAGGTGTTATGTAGTGCCAATGCCCAATTTCTAGAGCACGTAGGATGGGATAAGTTAGAACAGGATAACAATAAAGAAGTAATTATTGAATCCTATAGAAATCCCATTAATTATCCCTGTAACTTTAAGAATAAAGTAAAGAGACAAATACAGGCAGAGATAGAGCCCATAAAGGAAGAAATAGTACCAATAGCTGAGCAAGCTGAGGAACATGAACAGGTAGTAATTC